AAAAGTTAGTTGTTTTTTAGAATCCAACACATAAATTATTATTTATCTCAAGAAATTTTGTGATAAGCAAAAGGTTTATTATCATGAATATTTTCATATAAAGATAAAAAAATGAAACCAACCACATATTCACATCAACAAGTTCTCATTAGATATAAAAGGAATATTGAAATTTACATATGTTTAAAACACATGTCATAATAAAAAAAGAATATGGTTAAACCCATGTATTTGAAAGTTTTGTTGATAATAAAGTTATGTCCACAAATTTTGTTGTATATTAAAAAAATTCACCTTAAGACATGTCGTAATTTTCGTCCATCATTTAGTAGGACACATAATATAATCAATAATTGTATAGATCTGAATTTCTATTATTTTTCATTTCTAAAATTACCTTTTGAATTTTGTTTATATTATTTGAAGATAATATGAAACGAATTTTATGATTATTTTGTTCTAGCTATTCTATATGGTTTACGATTTATTTATCTTAAGATATAGGACCCATATTAATATGATATTAACATGTGACATTGTATTATTATTAATATGTTTTATTTTCAGTAAATAATTCATAGATATTACTACACGTGTGATTTGTGTTGGTTATATTAACATGTTGAACACGTGATTATGTTTTATGTTTGAATTTTGAGATGAAAATATTATTATTATTAATTAATATGTATTATAATGACAATGTTATAATTATTTTTGTATTAAAATTATATCTAAAGTTCATAGATCATATATAATCTATAATTCACTACAAGAATTACTACACGACATCTATATGACGACAAGTGTCGTTGGTAAAGTTCAACCTGTTCCGAAGACATGTCGTCAGTATAAAGTTGACCAAAATTGACCAACTTTCTTTGACCTGGAAAGCTATGCCAACGACATATCGTCTGAATAGGTTAAGCGGGAACGAAAAGTTTTTTCACGGGTTTTCAGAAAACTATGCCGATGATAAGTCGTTGGTATAGGTAACAAAAATTATAATTTCCAATTTTCTTATAATTCGTGTTTCAGTAAATAAAACCGACATCGTTTTCGTGTAACTTTGCACGATGACAAGTCGTCGGTAAACAAAATGGTGATCCGTGTGAGCTCTGTACCAACAATATGTCGTCGGTATAGGGTTCCTATTTATTATTATTTTTTTAGTTGCCAGAAAATGATACGACGTCGTATAACTTAATGCCTACATCGACGACATATCGTCGGTATATGGTTTTAACCCCAATATGACTGGTTCATCTCCCACATTTATAGTTATCGTATCTCACTTATTCTCTCTCGAAATCCCACCTACAGACGAGAACTCCGGGCGCCTCCTTCACCTCTGACCGCCGATATAGGTAAAATCACTCAATAATTCCGATTTTCTTCCCTTTTTGAGGTTTCATTTTGATTTGTGTGCTTAATGTTCCACCTTTTTCCTTTGTGTTTTGGTTACGGTCTCACCGGAGGACCACCGCCGACCTCACTATCCTTCTAACCTCTCTTTGACCGTCGACAACAAGTAAGATGTTTGATTTGTGAGTTGTTTTTTTTTAACTGATTCTGTTTTCCGGTGACCACCAGCCACCACCGGAGGACCACCGTTGAAGCCTACCCCCGAAATCCAGCTACCACTACCAACAGGTAAGGATGTTTGATTTGGTTTTTTACTGATATGCTGTTTTCCGGTGACCACCAGCCACCACCAGAGGACCACCGTTGAAGCAAACCTGAGAGAAATCCTGCTACCACTGCCATAGAACAATTATGTTTTTTTTCTTTATTTTCTGTTTTTTTATTTTGGTTGGATAATCTTATGAAATTGTGATATCTTGTATGCCTACTATGATAATTTGTATAATTGTTTGAAATTGATTGTATGAAAGTGGTAAAAGTTGTTTGGTAATTGTATGAAGTTGTGGTATAAGTAGTTTGTTTTTGTGTTTAGATGTATTGTATGCTTGTATGAAAGTGGTATTGTATGTATAAAATGAAGTGCTTAATTGATTAAACAGGAATGAAGTGCTAAAATGAAGTGCTTAATTTATTTGATTTTGTGATTGAATGAAGAGCTTAATGGAATGTTACGGTTGTTATAGTGATGATTCTGATTGTTGGTATGTTACAGTTGTTTTACATTTTGATTGCTTAAAAGTGTTTATTTGTTTTTTTAAAGTATTCTTAGTATATTTTCTAATACTTATTAAACAGATGACAACACAACTCGCGAAAGAGCATGGAGAAGACGGCTAGGAAAGACCTCCACACGGGGGCGCAGACAAGATACCAGCAAGTTGTGAATCTTGTAAGTTACATGAATTTGTAAAATATATTAGGTATATTTTTAAATTTTTAAATTTCAAAATTTTCAATTCTATGTGTCAATGTAGCAAACCCGACGCGTTGGCGTGGCAAGGGGAGATGTTTAAATATACGAAAAAAGTTCTCGAGCGGCGGTGGAAAACCTTTACCGATGGAAGTTGATAGAGATGGGGAAACCTATAAATTCATAGGTCAAAATGGCAAAATGTTGACAAGATTTATCTCAAATTATGTGGTAGAACATGTACCACTCCATCTTAGGTCTTGGAGGCGTGTTACTTTCTATTTCTATGAACCTATGTATCATGATATATAAGTAAGTACACAATACTTCTTATATGTGAAAATTTTTATACTTTTTAAATATTTTTTTACTAATAAATATTTTTTATTGCAGACATTTTTTTATCTTGATATGTATCGGGGTACATATATGTAGGAAGCCGTTCGAGCGGCAGTAAATAGCGAATGCTAAAGAGCTTATAAAGAACACAAATATGTTGTGAAAAGATATTTGATGAAGTTGAGGATATAATGATGTGGAAGGTGCAAGAGAATGTCCACCGGAAGATATGAATGACCAAGCTTGGGATGACATGATTGATCTTCTTTTTTTGGACGAGGGTTATAAGAAGCAGTGCTAAAAAGGTAAAGAAAGTAGGGCCAAACTTCTACATACGAGTTCTCATGGAAGCAGATCATATGTAGACAGACGCCGTGATGAGGTAATTAAACTTATTTGTATTATATAAATTTTTATTAACACTTATATAAGTATATTAATTGTTTTTGACTTATTATAGAGAGCAATGTGCTTTAAATAGAATCGGGATTGGTGTACACCACAAGAAGAAGTAGATTGGGTAGTAATAAACAAAGTTAATATGTTCTTTGATAAATATGTTGTTATTATTATTATTATTATTATTATTATAGTTATTTTAAGGTATTATTATTATTATTTTAGTGTATAATTTTAGTTATTTGTTTTAATTAATGTATGTTTATTGTTTTCTCTATTTTAGGAAAAATTTCAACAAGAGAAGATGTTGATGCAAGAAGAGCTCGGGGAGGGCAAAAGTTTAAATGAAAAACATTGTAGTATTACATCCTTAATTATCTTAATCACTTTCTTTGACTATCTACTAGACCTCCCACTCGCCTCCATCTGTGGAAAAAGATGCAAGTCATCCCATCAAACAAGGTGCCCTGTTATGGATAACCAGGCAATTGCTCAAAACTAGTATTAGTCCTTTGAAATTCTTGAAGCTTATGTGACAGTCAAATGGCCTGTTAATAACAAGTCCAACAATACCAAAAAATAGCAAGCAACCAAGCGGCTGCCAACAATTACAAAGAGGACAACACAAAAATTTGTGACACAAAAGAAACTACAAAGCAGACCGATTATGGTATAGTAGTTTTACAAGCAACAAATTTGTTGAACAATTTCATGTTGAGTCGGAACCTGGTATCTTTGGGCATGATGTGATTTTAGAGACGTTGAATAGTAAAGAGCTTGACATTAGTTGTACACTCTGGTATCAAATGTAATATTAAACTTTTAAAATATTTTATTTTTGTAATATATACTATTTTGTTTTAGTGTGCTACATTCGATTCTTACAACAAATAGGGTTAACAGATGCACTTTTATAAACCCACAGTCGATCACACTGAAACAGAGTATGTCCATGACGAGCAGGACAAGACAAACCAATGCAAAAATCGTGTTGCAACTGAGATCGCTGAAACAATGAATTTCCATCAAGAAAAAGACTTTTTTTCTTGCCCCTTATTGGCAAATGTACCACATTCTACTATATTCATTGTTGTATGTTTTTAGTTCATTGATTTTTATCCTAAGCACTTTAAACATTCTAGTCGACATTTGTTGCTGCTTGTGATTTGCCCTTATCAACGCACTGGTTACATTTTGGATTCCATGAAGAAGTCGGGAAATCCAACTGCTTCTTACAAAGTCATAAACATGTTGAAAAGTAAGATTTTTTATGTATGTCTGGATGGCGTTTCTTTCTATAAATAATAACAATCTTACTTGTTTTTGTTTTAGGGATGTTGAGATGTTTAATGAAGATTTCGAAACATCACATCCAATTACATGGACGATTGCTGAAGTAATTGACCCTCTCTCCCTCTCTTTCTCTCTCTCTTTATATATATATATATATATATATATATATATATATATATATATATATATATA